CACTTTCCTTTCATCTCGCTGCCCCTTTTCCTCCTGTCACCCTCTGAAGGGGTTGATGGTCGTTTCTCTTCACTTCACTTCCCGCCGCCCGCTCAGCACCTTTCTGAATACCGTCATCGCCCGGATATAAGACATATATGTCTTATCTCGTACACGGGCAAAAATGCTTGAGTTATCTTGTAAACGGGATGGTTTAGGGTGTCTTATAAGTCTTATAAATGGAAACTTTTTAAACTACTTAGAAATATTTTCCGTACTTCTTTAAAAAGAGTTTCTCATAATGCGTGTGGATGTTGCGAAGGTGCCACTTCGATAACCTCTGCCCGAGACGCCACGTTTTGGAGAACACCTGCAGGGGCAAATTTGGTAGGTCCTGGGTCAGCGCGTGGAAGAATTCGCGCTTCGCAAGGGTAAAAAAGTACGCGGTACTTCAACTTTCGCTATAATTTATTGAAGTTTCGATTATAAGACATATATGTCTTATCTCATACACACAAATAGGTGTCTTATAATGAGGCTAGCCTGTTTATAAGAGACACCCGTATAGTAGACAACCCCTGTCTACTATTCAACACTGTCTTATATCCGGGTGATGACGGTACCCTATTGCCAACAGCAATCGCTATAGGGTGCCGTGCCTGTGTGTTCCGCTACAACAGCAATAGGCTCCGCACAGGCACCCGCACATGCACCCGCACAGACACCCGCACCTGCACCCGCACACGTAGCCATTACCAGGACGCTGCAGCCACGAGAACCTCTCTCAAATACTGGTGGTAGAACCAAAGGTTGCACTCTCATATCCGATTCATGGACGTTTTGAGGGTCAGCTTCGAATCAGTGCCTATACTCTCAGCGTACTACGACTAGTAGTTATATAAGCGTTCTCGGGTACTGCGACTGCATTCTCAGCACAAGGGCTTGCGCGACGACCAGCACCAGCGCCCTGGTAAGGCGCCTCAATAGTGGTCTATTAGTAGTAGTAGTGTTGCACAAGGACTTACGCGACGACCAGCGTCAGGGCCGTAGACGCGACGTGGATCGTCGCGCGGTACGGGAGATCTTTCAATTCCAGCCCGGTCGCGCAAGGCTGGGCCGCGGCGGCAGTCTCCGCATCAGCAGGAGGCCCCACAACAGGAGGAGCAGCAGCAGCAGCAGCAGTGGCAGGTGTTGTAGAGGACTCTCCTCTACTTTGCAGGAACTGGGAGTTGTTCTAAACGATAGAGCTCTGTCTTAGCTTTCCAACGAGCCGTCAAACACGTCGATCGCCTAAGTATTCTCCGAGATATAGGCGTTCACGTGCTAGGTGGTGCTCTTGAATGCAAGTAAAGAAGCTCTCTGGAATTTGTGTTCGAATGTACCTTGTACAAAGAACTCTGAGTTTCACTATGATGGCATGCAATACAAAGAAAACAGATTTATAGCATGCAAACAGGATCGAATCGCACAAGTAACCTCGAACCGCTACACTCGCGAATGTTCGAGTAACATCGAAAGGGTGAAATTCGACTCTCGAATTTCACCGATCCGAATTCTCCTTGGGTCTCGAATGTTCCTGGTGCTGCCATGTGGCACCGAATCGAATGGGTCTTCCGAAGTCAATCCTCAACCCCACGCAAACCTGCAACTCACTCGAAGGTGAGCACAAGTCACACATTCGGTGGGTTGGGGGCATACAAACGCCCCACCACCACCTTGCTTCCAACACACGTAATCTCCAACACTCCCCCTTGCACCCAACCCACTAGGTGTGCAAACCAACATGCTCATAGCATGCACGGGATGAATCTTTAGGGGGTGGTTCCATGAGAGATTTCGCGTGTTCATCATCACCCTTGGTTGCGAAGCAAAATGCCGCGCCCTCCTTATCCGTCTCCCCAACGGCTACCGTAGCGTAGTCGTTGTACTTGGAGGGAGGACGAACCTCACGACGCTCGCGGGTCAAGGCCAATGGTAGGGAGGAAGGTGTGGAGGTAGTTGCCGCCTCGGTTGGTGACACCTCCACGACATCATCAATGCTCTCCTCGTTGTTCGCTCCCCCTCCATCGGCTTCCTTCTCCACTTGAGGTGGAGTCTCACTCTCTTCAACCTCCTCTCGTGGCGGAAGGATGAAGGTGAGTTGTTGAGTGGGTTTCTCCTTCGACGGGAACTTGTCTTCATCGAAGACCACGTCCCGAGACGTGACGACACGCTTTTCACCCAAGTCCCACACTCGCCATGCACGCTCGTTTGGCGCAACTCCCAAGAAGATCGCCGCACGAGCTTTCGGTTGCAACTTGTGGCACGCCAATTACGACTCGGTCAAGGAGTTGGCCAACAAAGGACTTGCGAAGGGACTTGACGTGATCGCCGGCGACGACGAGAAGGGCGTGTGCGCGGCGTGTGTCGAAGGAAAAATGGCTCGCAAGCCATTTGGTAGCCGAACGTCACCCCTCGCTAAGGACCCGCTTGCGCTTGTTCACATGGACGTGTGTGGACCGATGCGACATGCATCAAAGGGAGGAGCGCGGTTCCTCTTGGTGATGCTCGACGACGCGACGCGGATGTGTTGGACCCGACTCTTGAAGGCTAAGGGAGATGCGGCCAAGGCGATTCAAGAGTGGGCGCTCGATGTTTGCGACGACGACAAGAAGCGGATCAAGTGTATTCGCACCGACGGTGGGGGCGAATTCGTGAACGCGGTGCTTGAGAAATGGATGAAGAGCAAGGGCATAAAGCACGACGTCACGACACCCTACACACCCCAACAAAATGGAGCGGCGGAGCGGCTTAATCGCACGTTGGTGGAAGCCGTTTGTTCACTACTTCAACACTCCAAGCTTGGGAACGAGTGGTGGGGAGAGGCGAGTGCGCTAGCGGCATGGATTGGTAGATATCTCCATTGAGAACCCCTTGCGCGAATTGCTCCCCCTTCCAAAAGAGGTTCATCTTCGCACCGTCGATGGTGGCGATCACGCCCTTCTTCGCCAGTTGCGGGACGGATAGAAGGTTCACCTTCACCCCCGGGACGTGAAGCACGTTCGTGACGTCCACCGGTCCGCTATCGACGATGAGGCGCGTACTCCCAACTCCAACCACCAGTAGAGATTCGTTGTTTCCGAACACGATGCTCGTGACGTCTCCCGGAGCGCCAATGTTGTTGAGGAGCGACGCCGAGTGCGTCATGTGTTGCGTTGCGCCGGTATCGAGGAACCACGCGTCGCTTGGAGTTTTGTTCCCGTTGCCGGCCACTAACACGAGCGACTCCTTTGAATCATCGGCCTCGCCGGATGCCGTGTGCGCGTTGCCCTCTTCGTCCCGCGCCTTCGATGGAGTCCAATCGCTCGGGCGCTTCCGACACTCACGCCAAAAGTGTCCCGGTTTGCGGCAATAGTGACACTTGCCGCGATGCTCGCTCCCACCCGACGATTCATTCGTCGCACCCTTGCTCCACTTGGACTTCTTTCCGGAACTCCCTCCGGAGTACATGGCGGTCCCCTCGCTCTCATTCGCGAATTATCGGCGACGTGATTCCTCATGGAGAAGCCGACCGACCACCATTTCCTTCGTCCAAGTGCCTTGCACGCTATCGAGTGTCGTAATCACCGTCGACCACTCTTCCGGAAGGCCGCAAAGCAAGGTGAGAATCCAATCCTCCTCCGTGACCGTTCCACCGAGGTCCATGAACGATTCCCCGAGTTCCTCCACACGAGTCGCATACTCGTGCATCGATTCGCCCGCGCGCATCTTCACCGTGTAGAACGCATTCCGGGCTAGGATCTTGCCGTGGAGAGTCTTGTTCACGTGGATGGTCTCGAGCCGCTTCCACGCTTCATGCGCCGACGCTTCGAGCTTGATGCACATGCGCACCGAGCTCACGAGATTGATGCCGATGCGCGAAATCAACGTAGCGAACGCCTTTTGGTCCTTCTTCTTCCATGCCGCGATGTCGCTCTCGTCGTCCGGCTTCTTCTCCGTTCCATCGAAGAATCTCCAAAGTCCCCGCTCCATCATGAGCACTTGGAACTTAAACTTCCACGCGGAGTAATTTTGTCCCGTGAAAATCGGTACCGCCGACGTGTCGAACATCGTCGCGGTTGCCCAGGGTTCGCCGGTATTTACAACGACACCATCCAAGGAAGTGCGGGAGGCCTCGCTTGACGTCATCATGCTTGCTCCTTGTCGCGCGCGTAGACTCCTCCGACCAGCTCTGATACCACTGTTGTAGAGGACTCTCCTCTACTTTGCAGGAACTGGGAGTTGTTCTAAACGATAGAGCTCTGTCTTAGCTTTCCAACGAGCCGTCAAACACGTCGATCGCCTAAGTATTCTCCGAGATATAGGCGTTCACGTGATAGGTGGTGCTCTTGAATGCAAGTAAAGAAGCTCTCTGGAATTTGTGTTCGAATGTACCTTGTACAAAGAACTCTGAGTTTCACTATGATGGCATGCAATACAAAAAAAAACAGATTTATAGCATGCAAACAAGATCGAATCGCACAAGTAACCTCGAACCGCTACACTCGCGAATGTTCGAGTAACATCGAAAGGGTGAAATTCGACTCTCGAATTTCACCGATCCGAATTCTCCTTGGGTCTCGAATGTTCCTGGTGCTGCCATGTGGCACCGAATCGAATGGGTCTTCCGAGTCAATCCTCAACCCCACGCAAACCTGCAACTCACTCGAAGGTGAGCACAAGTCACACATTCGGTGGGTTGGGGGCATACAAACGCCCCACCACCACCTTGCTTCCAACACACGTAATCTCCAACACCCTGCTGCAGCAGCAGCAGCAGCAGCAGTGGCAGGGGCAGCAGTGTCGCGCTTCTCGCCGCTTGCATCATCCTCGGTCATCCACATTGCAAGATGACCGTGAGTGACCAGTACTAAATGTTCCAAAACAATAAATGTTCCAAAATTAACTCAGTCATCGCATATACACAAATTAAAAACCATTCATAAGACTTCCCTCCTACCCCACGCACACAGTTCAAGGTTCAGATCACCATCAGCACCGCTCTAGAACGGAGTGGACCCAATGATATTCCCCTGGGGCGAGTAATCACACACCCACATGCCACCCCCATCAGGGCACTGAGCCGACGCACACCCCACATGGGTCGTTCCCGCCCACACCACCTGCGTGTAATGCCCGCACATCCTCCCCTCCACACACCCCTCGGGCACCGGGCTAGGAGTCCAATCCGCCTTCTCATCCACCCACGCCTGCACCGCCATGCGATCCTCCTCAGGGGTCAGCCCGGCCGGCGCACGCCAGTACAGGTTCTGCCCGAGCCCGTCCGCGCCGCCGTGCTGCAGAGGGCACCCCGCGGCTGCGAGCTGGCTCGCCCACTCCTGCGCTGCTGCTGCCACGCCGTCGTCCCATGCCAGGTCCGCCACCCCCACCTCCCGCCGCGCTGCGTTGTGAACCTCCAGGATCGCGCCAATGTCAATCGGCCCTCCTCCACTGTTGCCGCTGCCGCTGCCGTTGTCAACGCCGTTGTCACCACCAGTTCCATTATCCCCGCCGTTGTCGCCGTTGTTGTCACCATCGCAATCGCCACCGTCAGCTTGTGCAAATGCAAGAGAACCCAGCCGCTCACCCCCATAGTTCACACCACGGCTCTCGCCTTGAGCCCCACTCCTGTGAGTAATGGCCACATCGCTGCTTGTCGCCATGCGAAACTGCGGTGCCTTGTCGAGCCCATTCCCACGGTTCACACCACCGCTCCTGTGAATCGCCACATCCCTGGCTGTTGCCATGTGAAACTCCGGTGCCCTGTCGAGCCCACTCCCATGGTTCACACCACGGCTCGCACCTTGCGTCCCGCTCCTGTGAATGGCCACATCGCTGCTTGTTGCCATGGGGAACTGCTGTGCCTTGTCGAGCCCACTCCCATGGTTCACACCACGGTTCCTGCCCGCGCCTTGTGTCCTGCTCCTGTGAATGGCCACATCCCTGGCTGTTGCCATGTGAAACTCCGGTGCCTTGTCGAGCTCACTCCCATAGCTCATACCGCGGTTCTCGCCTTGCATCCCACTCCTGTGAATGGCCACATCGCTGCTAGTCGCCATGCGAAATTGCTGTGCCTTGTGGAACCCAGCCCCCTGATGGTTCACACCACGGCTCTCGCCTTGCGTCCCGCTCTCGCGAATGGCCACATCGCTGCTTGTCGCCATGCGAAACTGCTGTGCCTTTTGCAACCCAGTGCGCTGACTGTCCTCAAGCTCCCATACATTGTTGTTGTTGAAGCGAGAGACGCGAGATGATGCTCCATTCATGGCCTGAGTCCTGCCCCTTCCCTGTCTGTTGCTGCTGCTCTCACCCCCGTGCCAGCCGACTGCATCGTTGTCATTCTCCTTCCCATCTTCCTTCTCATTGTCCTTCCCATCTTCCTTCTCATTGTCCTTCCCATCTTCCTTCTCATTGTCCTTCCCATCTTCCTTCTCATTGTCCTTCCCATCTTCCTTCTCATTGTCCTTCCCATCTTCCTTCTCATTGTCCTTCCCATCTTCCTTCTCATTCTCCTTCCCATCTTCCTTCTCATTGTCCTTCCCATCTTCCTTCTCATTGTCCTTCCCATCTTCCTTCTCATTCTCCTTCCCATCTTTCTTCTCATTGTCCTTCCCATCTTCCTTCTCATTGTCCTTCCCATCTTCCTTCTCATTGTCCTTCCCATCTTCCTTCTCATTCTCCTTCCCATCTTCCTTCTCATTCTCCTTCCCATCTTCCTTCTCATTCTCCTTCCCATCTTCCTTCTCATTCTCCTTCCCATCTTCCTTCTCATTCTCCTTCCCATCTTCCTTCTCATTCTCCTTCCCATCTTCCTTCTCATTCTCCTTCCCATCTTCCTTCTCATTCTCCTTCCCATCTTCCTTCTCATTGTCCCTATCGTTGTCGCGCAACAAGTTGTTGTTGCCCTTGCCACTGTCCTTGTCATGACCGTCCTTCTCATCCTTCTCATCATCGTCCTTGCCATCTTCCTTCTCATTGTTGTCCTTGCCATTGTCCTTGCCATGATCATCGCCATTGTCATCGCTGCCGTTCTTCTCATCGTTCTTCTTATCGTCCTTCTCATCATCCTTCTCATTGTGGTCGCCGTCATTCTCGCTGTCATCGTCCTTGTCATCATCGCCATTCTCATCGCTTCCCTCCTTCTCATCATCGTCCTCATCATCATCCTCAGCCACCACATTCCTCCACGCCTCTGCCTGCACCGCCTCGTCATCCTCCGCTCCCATCGGAGATGGCACCTGGGGAACGATCGCCACGTCCTCAGCCGTCGCCATGTGAGGGCGCGCGCCGTGCTGGCGCGGCGATTGTGATTTCGACGGGGCAAGTGCCACATTGTCTGATGCCGTCTTAGCGCCACCGTGAATCGTCACATCCTCGGCCGTCGCCATGTGAGGACGCACGGGTTTGTTGCTCGCTCCCATCATCGCAGCAGCAGGCTGAGGCTGATTATTGACGCTGTGATTCGCAGTCGCGGCGCTCACGGCTGGTTGCGCATTTCCCGCGTGGGATGATCCCCCCTTGCCCGCCGCGCCCATCATCGCAGCAGGCTGGTTGTTGTTGATGTGACGCGCAGTCGCCGTGCCCACCGTGGGACGCGCATTAGCCACGTGGGACCCCCCCTTGCCTGCTGCGCCCTTGCTAGCCGCGGCCTTGCCAGCTGCACCATTTCTCGCAACGCGCTTGTTCGCTGCGGGATTTCCAGCCGCGCCAGCTGCGACCTTGTTCGGTGCGCCCTTGACATTGTTCGGTGCGACCTTGTGAGCCGCGCCCTTTCCTGCTGCGCCATTTTCTGCCGCGCCCTTGTTCGCCGCGCCCTTTCCCGCTGTGGCCGTTTCCGCAGCCGCCTTTCCTGCTGCGCCCTTTCCTGCTGCGCCGTTGCCCGCCGCGCCCTTGCCTGCTGCTCCCTTGCCCACCGCGCCCGCGCCATTTTTCGCCGCGACCTTGCCTGCCGGATTGTCAACGTGATGAGCAGGAGCACGCGGAGGGAGCGGGGAACCAGATTTCGCTTTAGGCGGAACATGTGACGTGTTTTTAGCAGGGAGGCTCGAGTCGCTTGAGTCGGAATTATTCGCAGAAAGGACAGCCTTCGGAGTCACTGGAGAGATTATAGCAGCGGTGGCGTCGCGGCCATGTGCGGGTTTAGGCGGAGTGGTTTTGATGAGCAGACCACGGCGGCCCGCCACGGTTGATGGCGCCAGGTGGGATGAGCAAGAGCCGACGAACAGAAGGAGTAGAGCGATTGGTATGAGCCGCCGATTCACCATGGTTCCCATCCAGCGTGATGATGGCGTTATATTTGGCGCGTTGAAGGATATCACGCGGTGACTGCTGGTAGCAGAGTATTCGCCGTTGTGTTAGTTCTAACTGGGTTTAAACTGGGGCTATAGGAAGTGGGTGTGGGTTTCGTTGCTCTCTGGAAAGGTGAGAAAGCAAGTCCAGGTTTGCTGGATGTGTTTTGAGAGAATTGACGCTCCAATTTATGTCTCCGATTTCCTGGTTTGTGATTTGGCACACATTAGTGCGGTGCGGGCCCGACATTGCGAGGAAAGCGAAGTCGGTTACGGACTTCGATTGCCGTGAGCGAGACTGTATGAGCCCCAAGCAAGCCCAAGTTGCGGACTTTGATAACCGTGTGCGAAACGGGAACGAACGCATAGGCGATCAGATGTCTGGCGAAGTCAGGTTACAGACTTGGGAGTATAGAGAACGACATGTGAGAGGTCCCGCGACATTGACGAAGGAAACCAACGATTTCGAAAGTCAACCAGAGCCCCAGAAACCAGCGACATTCATGCGACAGATTACCTTGACAAGTCCCGTGAGAAGGGCGATAGCACTAAGTGGCGCAACAGAAGCGAATTTCTCGTCGAGTTACCACGCATGCGAGCCGCTTGGCGGATGGTTACCACAATATGTGTGCTGCTGCTATTACGATTCCCGCCACCTCGACGTTTCCCGCGCTTTGCATTGACTTGCTTCAACATCTTCTAGAACAGAATTTCGGCCATGATCGTTTCTCGAAAAATGTAGTGAAGGTTTTCAACGTGTCATAGCGCGGCTCATCTCTAGCGCATCAAGTATCGACACTTGCACCTTCCGGCACGTCGACTCAATGAGCTGCTCATCGAATTTTGAGACGTCTCAATTTCGACATATCAACTAGCTCTGCCCATCGGCACGACGGTCGCGCGATTCGCAGTAAGGGACAGGCAACACGTGTATCGCTGCGGTTGTGCGAGTGGCACGACGGTCGCCCGATTCGCATTTAGAGACACAGTTAGGTCTCGAGCGACTTGATCTCTAAAACGCTCATTCTGCATACCTTGGGAAGCGACCAAGGCAACGAGCGTGTGAGCGCATCTGCATTCGCTCCGTCAGGCCTCTTCCCACTGCAGCAGCAGCACTACTCGCAGCAGCACTCGCAGCAGCACTCCGTCGTTACCTCCGTCAGGCCTCTTCCCACTTATTCCCGCGTGAGGTAACGACGTCGCAACAGCACTACTCACAGTAAATCGGCTTCAAAGCAGTATCGACAGCAGGTCTGTCCCTCTCATCCCCCCCCCCCCCCCCCCATTCCCCTCTCCCTTCTCCCCTCCCAATTCTTGTATGCGCGCAGCCTTTAGACTAGACTATGAAGACTAATTAGAGACTTGCATGGGAAGCTCTGGTCTCAATTGTGCATAGGAATTTTCTGAAAAACATCAAGACAGAAAGTTCCAGTGATTCATTGAAGAAGGCATACAAAAACAGAAAACACAAAGCAAGTTATAAGCAAAAGGATTTCTGATTTCGCCCCCGCGCCGCGCCTAATATCGAGCTGAGTTGTACTCGGCTCGATTTCCAAATCCAACCATGCGCCAAACGCGCCTCGAGTTCGAATTTCAGACTTCCTTGGACGCGCCTTTGACCCGGCGTGACTTCTGTTCACTTCACTTGAAATCTCGACATTTCAACCGTATCCTTCTCCACGTCTGCACACTTCCTCTTCTTCACTTCGTTTCTCACCATAGGTTCCGCTGCTGCCGTGTTCCTTCTTCCACCGCCCCAACATAAGTAGCTTATCTTCTTCTTAGGTCCTCGCCTTCCCTTTGTCTGATCTCGTCAAGGTAGGTTCTTAGGTCGATGTAGGTCGCTCCAGGTTGTGCTAGGTCGTGGTTAGCTAACCACCTTCAACACCAATCCCCCCTCTCATTCCCCATCACATCCCCCCTCTCATTTCTATTCCCATTCCCCCTCTCTTTCCCTGCCCCACCTCCCCTCTCCCTTCCTCATCCCCCCTCTCATTCCCCCTCTTATTCACCCCTATCATTCCCTCTCATCACCCCCTCTTATTCCCCCTCTCATTCCCTCTTCTTCTTCCTCTCATCCCCCTTATTATTTCCCCCGCTCATTCCTCCCTCTTATTCCCCCTCCCATTCCCCCCTCGTTACCCCATCTCGTTCCTCTCTCTTCCTCCCCTCCGATTTTCACCTCCCACTTCCCCCTTCCCCATCCCCCCCTCCCATTCCCCTGTCCCATTCCCCCCTCCATTCCCCCCAACCATTCTCCACACCCATTTACCATTCCCAATCCCCCCTCCCATTCCCCCCTCCCATTCCCCCCTCCCATTCCCCCTTCCCATTCCCCCTTCCCATTCCCCCCTCCCATTCCCCCTTCCCATTCCCCCTTCCCAATCCCCCCTCCCATTCCCCCCTCCCATTCCCCCTTCCCATTCCCCCCTCCCATCCCCCCTTCCCATTCCCCCTTCCCATTCCCGCTTCCCATTCCCCCTTCCCATTCCCCCTTCCCATTCCCCCTTCCCGTTCCCCCTTCCCATTCTCCCTTCCCATTCCCATTCCCCCTTCCCATTCCCCCTTCCCATTCCCCCTTCCCATTCCCCCTTCCCATTCCCCCTTCCCATTCCCCCTTCTCATTTCCCCCCTCCCATTCCCGCTTCCCATTCCCCCTTCCCGTTCCCCCTTCCCATTCCCCCTTCCCATTCCCCCTTCCCAATCCCCCCTCCCATTCCCCCCTCCCATTCCCCCTTCCCATTCCCCCCTCCCATTCCCCCTTCCCATTCCCCCTTCCCATTCCCGCTTCCCATTCCCCCTTCCCATTCCCCCTTCCCATTCCCGCTTCCCATTCCCCCTTCCCATTCCCGCTTCCCATTCCCCCTTCCCGTTCCCCCTTCCCATTCCCCCTTCCCATTCCCCCTTCCCAATCCCCCCTCCCATTCCCCCCTCCCATTCCCCCTTCCCATTCCCCCCTCCCATTCCCCCTTCCCATTCCCCCTTCCCATTCCCGCTTCCCATTCCCCCTTCCCATTCCCCCTTCCCATTCCCGCTTCCCATTCCCCCTTCCCGTTCCCCCTTCCCATTCCCCCTTCCCATTCCCCCTTCCCAATCCCCCCTCCCATTCCCCCCTCCCATTCCCCCTTCCCATTCCCCCCTCCCATTCCCCCCTCCCATTCCCCCCTCCCATTCCCCCTTCCCATTCCCCCCTCCCATTCCCCCTTCCCATTCCCCCTTCCCATTCCCGCTTCCCATTCCCCCTTCCCATTCCCGCTTCCCATTCCCCCTTCCCATTCCCCCTTCCCATTCCCCCTTCCCATTCCCCCCTCCCATTCCCCCCTCCCATTCCCCCTTCCCATTCCCCCCTCCCATTCCCCCTTCCCATTCCCCCTTCCCATTCCCCCTTCTCATTCCCTCTTCCCATTCCCCCTTCCCATTCCCGCTTCCCATTCCCCCTTCCCATTCCCGCTTCCCATTCCCCCTTCCCATTCCCCCTTCCCATTCCCCCTTCCCGTTCCCTCTTACCATTCCCCCTTCCCATTCCCCCTTCCCATTCCCCCTTGCACATGGCATGAGAGCAGTGCACATGGCATGAGAGCAGTGCACATGGCATGAGAGCAGCGCACATGGCATGAGAGCAGCGCACATGGCATGAGAGCAGTGCACATGGCATGAGAGCAGCGCACATGGCATGAGAGCAGTGCACATGGCATGAGAGCAGCGCACATGGCATGAGAGCAGCGCACATGGCATGAGAGCAGCGCACATGGCATGAGAGCAGCGCACATGGCATGAGAGCAGCGCACATGGCATGAGAGCAGTGCACATGGCATGAGAGCAGCGCACATGGCATGAGAGCAGCGCACATGGCATGAGAGCAGCGCACATGGCATGAGAGCAGCGCACATGGCATGAGAGCAGTGCACATGGCATGAACAGCCCACTACCCCTTCCCACTCCCCCCTCTTATTCCCCCCTCCCACTCCCCCCTTCCACTCTCCCCTCCCATTTCCCCACTCTCATTTCCCCCTCTCACTTCCCACTCCCATTTCCCCCATTTCCCCACCTCCGGTTTTCATAAGCCTCCTCCCTCCTCAAACGTTCCTTGCATCCATTTTGGGGTGCTTGAGTTGCCATTTTGGGGTGCTTGAGTTGCCATTTTGGGGTGCTTGAGTTGCCATTTTGGGGTGCTTGAGTTGCCATTTTGGGGTGCTTGAGTTGCCATTTTGGGGTGCTTGAGTTGCCATTTTGGGGTGCGTGAGTTGCCATTTTGGGGTGCTTGAGTTGCCATTTTGGGGTGCGTGAGTTGCCATTTTGGGGTGCTTGAGTTGCCATTTTGGGGTGCTTGAGTTGCCATTTTGGGGTGCTTGAGTTGCCATTTTGGGGTGCTTGAGTTGCCATTTTGGGGTGCTTGAGTTGCCATTTGGGTGCTTGAGTTGCCATTTTGGGGTGCTTGAGATGCCATTTTGGGGTGCTTGAGTTGCCATTTTGGGGTGCTTGAGTTGCCATTTTGGGGTGCTTGAGTTGCCATTTTGGGGTGCGTGAGTTGCCATTTTGGGGTGCTTGAGTTGCCATTTTGGGGTGCGTGAGTTGCCATTTTGGGGTGCTTGAGTTGCCATTTTGGGGTGCTTGAGTTGCCATTTTGGGGTGCTTGAGTTGCCATTTTGGGGTGCTTGAGTTGCCATTTTGGGGTGCTTGAGTTGCCATTTGGGTGCTTGAGTTGCCATTTTGGGGTGCTTGAGATGCCATTTTGGGGTGCTTGAGTTGCCATTTTGGGGTGCTTGAGTTGCCATTTTGGGGTGCTTGAGTTGCCATTTTGGGGTGCTTGAGTTGCCATTTTGGGGTGCTTGAGTTGCCGCAGTGCTTGCACTGTTGGGTTTCAATATGTTGTTGCAAGTGGAACCTCTTTCAACGTGAGTCACCAGTGTTTCCTGCCCAATCAGTGCGTGTCCATATCTTTGTTTCTTCCACTCTTCATTCTGTTATGTGTGTTTCTGCTTTGCACTATTGAGATCACCCCCAGCTACCAGGACTGCATTTTCCATAATCAAACAATCGCATTTAGTGAATTATCCCATACATACAGATATTCAAATGCACCTGCACTAACTCCCTGCTGTAGTGTGAAGCATTCATAAAACTCCCTCTCCTCCCAAGCACACAGATCAAGGCTCACAAAACCATCAGCACCGCTCTAAAACGGAGTGGACCCAATGATATTCCCCTGGGGCGAGTAATCACACACCCACATGCCACCCCCATCAGGGCACTGCGCCGACGCACACCCCACATGGGTCGTCCCCGCCCACACCACCTGCGTGTAATGCCCGCACATCCTCCCCTCCACACACCCCTCGGGCACGGGGCTGGGAGTCCAATCCGCCTTCTCATCCACCCATGCCTGCACCGCCATGCGATCCTCCTCAGGGGTCAGCCCGGCCGGCGCGCGCCAGTACAGGTTCTGCCCGAGCCCCTCCGCGCCGCCGTGCTGCAGAGGGCACCCCGCGGCTGCGAGCTGGTCCGCCCACTCCTGCGCTGCTGCTGCCACGCCGTCGTCCCATGCCAGGTCCGCCACCCCCACCTCCCGCCGCGCTGCGTTGTGCACCTCCAGGATCGCGCCAATGTCGATAGAACCTCCTCCTCCGCCGCCGCTGGCGTTCTCGCCGCCGTTGCCGCCGCCGTTGTTGTCACCATCGCAATCGCCGCCCTCAGCTTGCGCACCCAGCCGCTCATTCCCATAGTTCACACCACGGTCCGCGCCTTGCACCCCGCTCCTGTGAATGGCCACATCGCTGCTTGTCGCCATGCGAAACTGCTGTGCCTTTTGCAACCCAGTGCGCTGACTGTCCTCAAGCTCCCAGCCATTGTTGTTGTTGAAGCGAGACACGCGGGAGGGTGCTCCCTTGGCGGTGCCCTGAGTCCCACTCCTGGGCAGGATCACATCGCTGCGTGTTGCCATGCGAAACTGCGGTGCCTTGTTGAGCCCACTCCCATAGTTCACACCACGGTTCGCGCCTTGAATCCCGCTCCTGTGAGTGATGGCCACATCGCTGCTAGTCGCCATGCGAAACTGCTGTGCCTCGTCCAGCCCAGTGCGCTGATTGCTGCGAGGCTCCCAGCCACGGCTGTTGCTGAAGCGAGACACGCGGGATGATGCTCCCTTGTCACTGCCGTGAGTCCTGCCCCGTCGCTGTCCCTTGCTGTCACCGTTCCTGCGCGTGCTGCTGCCCTCCCCCCCATGCCACTGCACTGCATCGTTGTCATTATCCTTCTCATTGTCACCGACCCGGTCGCTGTCATTCTTCCTGTCGCCGTCTCTGTCGTTGTCGTTCTCCTTATCGCCATCATTGTCGTTCTTCCTGTCATTGTCGTCGTCATTGTCGTTCTCCCTGTCACTATCGTCGTCATTGCCATTCTCATCGCTTTTCTCACCATCATCGTCGTCATTGCCATCATCAGCCATCACATTTCTCCACGCCTCGCCCTCCTCTGCTTGCATCGGCGCCACCGCCGCCGCCGTCGCCTTTGCTAATCCCGGGTGAATAATCGCCACGTCCTCAGCCGTCGCCATGTGAGGACGCGCGCTGGGTTGGCGCAATTGTGCGTTCGACGCAGCAGGACGATTGCCCGGTGACGTCTTCAGGGTGTGAATCGCCACGTCCTCAGCTGTCGCCATGTGAGGACGCGCGGCGCGCTGGGCATTCGACCCAGCAGGATGATTTCTCAAAGCCTTCTTCACGGTGTGGATCGCCACATCCTCAGCCGTCGCCATGTGAGGATGCACGGGTTTCTTGCTTGCTCCCATAATCGGAGCAGCAGGCTGATTCTCCGCGCTCTGACTCGCAGATGCCGTCGTTACGGTGTGGATCGCCACATCCTCAGCTGTCGCCATATGAGGACGCGCGACTTGTTGGTGCGACTGTGCGTTCGACGCAGCAGGATGAATTTCCGATGCCGTCGTCAGGGTTTGGATCGCCACATCCTCAGCCGTCGCCATGTGAGGTCGTGCGTTGGGTTGGCGCAATTGTGCCGCGTTCGACCCAGCAGGACGTGCGGATGTGGATGCCGTCTTCACGGTGTGGATCGCCACGTCCTCTGCCGTCGCCATGTGAGGACGCGCTTCTCTCTCCGCCGCTCGCATCGGAGCCACTGTTGCGGCTTCCGCCGTCGCCATATGATGACGCGCGACGCGCTGGGCGTTCGATGCCGTCTTCACGGTGTGGATCGCCACATCCTCAGCTGTCGCCTTGTGAGGACGCGTTTTGGGTTGGCGCGGCCGTGCGTTCGGCGCAGCAGAATCATCCTTCGACCCAGCAGGATGTGCGGGTGTGGATGCCGTCTTGAGGGTGTGGATTGCCACATCCTCAGCCGTAGCCATGTGAGGCGGCGCGGCCGTGTGAGGCGGCGCGGCCATGTGAGGCGGCGCGGCGTGCTGTGCGTTCGTTGCGCCCTTGTCTGTCGCGCCCTTGTTTGTTGCGCTCTTGCCTGCAGCGCCCTTCTTCGCCGCGCCCTTATCCGCTGCGCCAGCGTCCGATGCGCCCTTGCCTTCTGCGGCCCTGCTCGGGGGGGCCTCGCCTTCCGCGACCTTGCCCGGCGCGCCCTTGCCTGCTGCGCCCTTGTTCGCCGCGCCCTTACCCGCTGCGGTAGCTCCCGCTCCGCCCTTCCCTGCAGCGCCGTTGCCCGTTGCGCCCTTGCCTTCTGCGCCATTTTTCACCGCGCCCTTGCCCGTAGCGCCCGCGCCCACACCCTTCAAGGGTGCGTCTTTCTCTGCCGCGCCAACATCGTCAACGTGATGAGCAGGAGCACGCGGAGGGAGAGTTGAGGCGGTTTTCTCTTCAGTGTTTGAAACACTTGACGTGGTATTAGCAGGCGCGGTCGAGCTGCTTGATTCGGAATCATTAATTGCAGCGGCGACGACCTTCGGAGCCACTGGAGCGGTGGTAACTGTTGAGTCGCGGCCATGTGCAGTTTTAGTAGGCGAAGTGGGTTTAGCGAGAAGGCCACGTCGGGCCGGCAGGGTTGAAGGCGCCAGGTGCGATGAATACGAGCCGACGAACAGAACGAGAAGAACGATGGGTATCAGCCTCGTATTCTCCATGACGTTCATCCAACGCAAAACAATGCGTTAGCTTTGGCGGGGTGAATGTTTTTGTAGGCGCCTGGCTGGTTATGCTGCTGATGCAAATCAAGCTAAATCTGGGGGAAGCAGGTGTGCGTTTGGTTGCTCTCCACAGATGAGAAAGCAAGTCAGGTTTGCTGGATGTGCTTCGAGAGAATTTGTGTTCCAATTTATGCTTCCAATCTGTAGATCCACGACTCGTCTTGTATCAGTGCGCTGCGAGCCGTACTCTGCGATGACGGCGAACGAGGTTACGGACTTCGATTGCCGTGAGCGAGGCGGGTGAAGCTTGGGTGAGCCCAAGATGCAGTCCACGACAATGGTGTACGCGACGGGAACCGACGCAAAGGCGAGAAGAAGTTACGGACTGGCGAAGCCAGGTTACAGAATTTGGAGTGGACTGGACGACATATGTGAGGGTCGCTCAACACCTCACCGACATAAAAAAAAAAGTGAGCGCTTCCGGAAGTCAACCGAAGTCCCAGGATCTATCGAAAGGGTTGTTGGACTAGTCCGATTGGCGAAACTCGTTGAGTTACCACACAGACTAAAGACTGAATCCATCTCTTTATGGAAATCATGAAAGAGCTTAAGGTTACTTTTATCTTATGTGGTATTTCTATTAATATACAAAAGATAGCGGCTTCACCCAGATAATGGCACCCTGAACCCCAAACCTTCAGCTGGAGGCTTGCGCCAAGATTCTCTGCAGCTACCTGTATTTCTCAAATGGCATCAACCAAAAACAAGAAACCAGAAACTAAACAAGCTTGTTTTTTGGACAGCCAAATTAGAAAGCGAACAGGGAAGTAAACTGAAGGAAGGAACGGCACTAGTGTTTCGATTCTCCTACAACCAAAGCACCCTACTTAGTGAATCCAAATTTCTTCATGAGTGCAGAATCTCTGAAGCTGTAAGGCAGCCATGTCATGACACGGAAAGACCCCACCAGATGTCCAAACGCCCACTCTATTGCGACCTTCTTGGCCAAGGCTTTCTGGCGTTGGGAAGGTGGAGAGCAGGAAGAGGAGGGTGAGGGGGGAAAGGGAAAATTCGGGAGGGGAAGGAAGGGAAGGGAGACATGTCATGACACAGAATGAGCTCACCAAATGCCCAAACGCCCACTCCATCGGCACCCTCTTGGCCATAGCTTTCTGATAGTGGGAGAGGGTATTGAGGAGAGTGGGGGAGAGGAAGGGGGGAGAGGACGAAGGCACGGGGATGTAGTATGTGGAAGCTGTAAAGCAGCCATGTCATGACACGGAATGACCCTACCAGGTGCCCGAATGCCCACTCTGTCGGCACTTTCTTGGCCATGGCTTTCTGGTGGAGGGCGGGGGGAAGGAAAAGGGGGGAATGAGGAGGGAAAGGGGGAACAGGGACATGAGATGTAAGTGGAAGCTGTAAGGCAGCCATGTCATGACACGGAATGATCCCACCAGGTGCCCAAACGCCGAATCTAATGGTACCTTATTGGCCAAGGCTTTCTGGCAGTGGGAGGGAGGGAAATAGAGGGGAGGGGATAGAATGGCAAGAGATGCATATGAAATCTGCATGAAGCAAACCCACCAAATTCCAAAACAATCGCACATGAACATGCATGCACATGCGCATGCATGCACACGCACACATGCACATGCACATGCACATGCACACGCCCAGACGCCCAGACGCACACATACAAAAACCACCTCACCACCACCCTCACCTCCACTAGAGCCCTCACAAACACGTCTCCTGGTGTGGAACTGGGGCGTTTGAGAGGCCCCTGCCCTGGCCTCTATCTGCTGCTAAAAGCACATACACAAATGCACATACATGCAGCATATGCACACACAAAGCGTCCCCACACCACCCTCACCTCCACTAGAGCCCTGGCGAACACGTCTCCTGGCGTGGACTGAGGCGTTTGCGAGGCCCCTGCCCTGGCCTCTATCTGCTGCTGGAAGCGGGAGAAGATCTTAAGGCGCAGGTGGGAGACGGAGGAGGAGGAGTTGCCACCAAAGTTGGACCTAAGATGGGAGCGGAGGGGATAAAATGGGAGGGGATGGGATAGGAGGGGAGGGGAAGGGAGGGGAGGGGAGGGGAGGGGAGGGGAGGGGAGGGGAGGGGAGGGGAGGGGAGGGGAGGGGAGGGGAGGGGAGGGGAGGGAAGGGGAGGGGAGGGGAGGGGATGGGATGGGAGGGATGGGATGGGTGGGAAGGGGATGGGATGGGAGGGAAGGGTAGGGGGGGGAATGGGATGGGAGAGGAGGGGAGGAAATGGTACGCAAGATATGGATTAGGACAGCAGGGGGCAGGAGAACAGGAAAGGGGGAGAGAGCGAGAGAGATGCTGTTGTTGACCAGCAGAGGTAGCCTCTTATGGGGCGACTCTTGATTCGACTCAAAAGTCTTTTCAGACGACTCAAAAGTCTTTTCAGACGACTCAAAAGTATTTTCAGACGACTCAGAAGTATTTTCAGACGTCTCAAAAGTCACCTAACCTCATGTCGCGAGAGATCCTTGGAAGAATAGCAAACGGATTCACGCGCATACTGGAGTAGCAGCAAACCTGATGAAAACGCTTAAAAAAAGGAGGCACCTAAAAAACAAAAGCTTCATGCCGCGAGAGATCCTTGAATGAATAGCACACGGATTCAACTCCATCCGTCGTGCATGAGTGATGTTGTGCACTGCTGGCCTTGGCTTGGTGGTACAGTGGGAAGGGAGTTGATGCTGCCTTGGCCACAATACATGCCCCTTGTAAGCCATCCCAGCAGCCCTCTCCTATCTAATGGCATCCGGAGCAACGAGCATGACTTCAGCTCCATTCGGAGTGCATGTGTAATGCTGATTTTTGAGTCGACTCAAAAATGGCACCCGGAGCAACGAGCATGACTTCAGCTCCATTCGGAGTGCAAGTGTAATGCTGTGCACTGCTGCTTTGGCCGCACAGTAAGTGCCCACCACTACAAGGCATGCAGCTAGTGCGTGCAAGTTCCCCTCCTCTCCTACCTGATGGCGCCCGGGGCAACGAGCATGAATTAGATGCCAAAGGGTTTTAGCTCCATCATGAGTGAGTGATGCTGTGCTCTGCTGCCTTGGCTGCACAGTAGGTGAAGTACTGCTTTGCCTGTTCTAAGCCATTCCAACAGCCCTCTCTCACCTGATGGCGCCCGGAGCAACGAGCATGACTTGTATGCCGAAGGGTTTCAGCTCCATTCTAAGAGCGTGGGAGATGCTGTGCACTGCTGCCTTGGCCGCACAGTATGTCCCGGCGAATGGCGTGGTGACCCATGCTGACACCGACCCTATATTAATGACCTTGCCACTGCCCTGGGGATTTGAAAGAAGGGGATGGAAGGAGGGGGTGAAAGCTTAGAAGGAGTGAATGGCGTGGTGACCCATGCTGACACCGACCCTATGTTGATGACCTTGCCACTGTCCTGGGGATTTGAAAGAAGGGGGGGATAGATAAACGAGGAGTGGAGAGAGATGACGGATGCATGGAGAGAAAAAGGGATGCAACTTTCCTGATAAATGATGTGGGGATAGACGAGGTAGAAGCGAGTGGTCAGCTCGGCAGAAGATAAAGAAAGAGAGACAGTGAAAGGGGCTGTGCAAGTGTGCGATGTTGAGTGTGCTGCTATGGGGCCAAGGCACCCTACCCTTCGCCCTTGCTTGCCGTCACCTCACCCACCCCCTATCACACCTGCTCCCCCTCACTCACCCCCCATTCGCATTTATTGTAAGAGGGCTCTTCTCCACTATCCCACCTGCTCCCCTTCGCCTCAACTTCTCACCTTCCCATCATTCCACGAACCTGCTCCACCATGTGGGGCACCACTGCTTGGGTGACAGCCAGCAAGCCAACCACGTTGGTCTCCATGTTGCTGCGGAATGAATCCAGAGGCATCTCCTCCACCATGGGGGCAAAACAGCCTGCCCCCCTACCCACCTGCTACCGTCACACACACCTGCTCCGCCATGTGGGGCACCACTGCTCGAGTGACGGCCAGCAAGCCAACCACGTTGGTCTCCGTGTTGCCTACTTATGCACCCACACTCATCGTTAGTCCCATTCACTTCACCCTACCTGCTCCACCATGTGAGGCACCACCGCTTGAGTGACAGCCAGCAGGCCCACCACGTTGGTCTCCATGTTGCTGCGGAAGGCGTCCAGAGGCATCTCTGCCATGGGGCCAAAGCACAAGCACCCCGCGCCCTCCACACCAGCTACCATCTCACCCCATAGACACGCTCACATACACATCCCACCCACCTGCTCCACCATGTTCGGGACAACCGCTTGGGTGACGGCCAGCAGGCCAACCACGTTGGTCTCCATGTTGCTGCGGAAGGCGTCCAGAGGCATCTCTGCCATGGGGCCGAAGCACCCTGCTCCCGCATTGTTCACCAAAATGTCTATTCTGCCAGCCTGTGTTTGTGAGGCAGGCAACAAGCATGAGGGATAACAACGAGAAAGCAGAGAGAATGTTGAATCCCCAGAGGCATCTCCGCCATGGGGCCGAAGCACCCCGCTCCTGCATTGTTGACCAGTATGACTATCCTGCCAGCCTGCACACGTGAGACAGGGAAGCACCCTGCCCTGTCTTTGAAAAGCAGCGTGAAACATTGGAACGTTGGGGGCATCCTGAGGCATCTCTGCCATGGGGCCAAAGCAAACCCCCCTGGCGTTGTTGACCAGAATGTCTCTTCTGCCCGCCTGCACAGGTGAGACAGGGAAGACAGGCAGGCGAGACAGACAGGCATCAAGCATGGGCGATACAGGTGAGCACAGCGATAAGGTGGAGCAAGCAAGCAAACATTGCATCCAGAGGCATCTCCGCCATGGGGCCAAAGCACCCTGCCCTGGCGTTCTTCACCAGAACGTCTATTCTGCCAGCCTGCGTCACGGGTGCAACAGGGCGGAAGAGGGGTGACGATTAGAAGGCAGAGCAAGCGTTGCACCCCCAGAGGCATCCCCAATCAACAGCTTGGATATGACAGTACGACTCTTGAATTGAAACGACCCAAAAATCACCTCCGATGTGCTTTGTTGAAGAAGAAGCCATTTCACTAATCAAACGGAACAATAAAATCAAAGCTCACTTAGGCAATGACTGAGCTGACGGCTTCCTGAATGGAGGCCGCGGACGCTTTGGTATCAACCAGAACTGCTTCAAGAGGAACGCTGCTCTAGGAATAGCCACCCCTGTCCACATATCCCATCGACCATGACTATCCAGCAAGCGACTCACTGCAAACGTCATCACCTTGGCAATGACTGTGTGCTGACGGCTTCCTGAATGGAGGCAGCAGAGTAGTGGTTATCCAATGCCACCTTGACAGAGCACAGGCCAAAAACGTCACCTTGGAGCACACGTTAATCGTCACCTTGGCAATGACTGTGCTGACGGCTTCCTGAATGGAGGCTGTGGACGTCACATCTAGCTGCACTGTCTCGATTCCCAAGCCTGAAAACGGGAAAAGAATGGCAAGCGGAGGAGACGAGAGGAAAAAAGAGACGACGAGAAGATTCAATGTTGGGAAATGTGATCATGAAGATGACTTTTGAGCGATCTAGCTCAAAGCCATAAGCCATCTTTGAGACATCTCTCTCATTCCCGACAAGACGACTCATTCCCTTTTGAATGAGGGCAGTGAGGAGTGGATTGGACATTTAACCGCACCATCTCTCTCCCCAACCCTGGAAGGGCAGAGAAGAGGGGTGCAGTGCAAGGGACATGCGAGCCGAGTTTTGATGCACATGCTACGTGATAACACAACTTTCCGGAGACGTCTCAAAACGATCTCATTATCACGTGGCACATGATATGCGACAAGAAGGCTTGAAGATGAACAAACGCCTCCCACTGGCCGCTTACCTGCGAGGTCCTGCATTGGCCTACCTGCTAAGTCTTGCATGCAGTCGGGGCGGCGTGCGGATGCGAACACGCGACAATCTTTAGCGGCGAAGGCCTTGCAAAGCCCCGATCCGATGCCCCGATTCAAAGCACCGGCTTGAGACACTCACGCTGGAAGAGGGGGGAGGGACTCACACTCGCCACTTGCCTGCTAAATCCTGCATGGAGTCGGGTCGGCGTGCGGTAGCGAACACGCGGCAGCCTCTAGCGGCGAAGGCTTTACAGAGCTCTGATCCGATGCCGCCGGAAGAGCACCCCGTGACGAGCACCACAGGACCCGCCATCAGCGGCTGATGCTGCTCCGACATTAGTGATCCGACCGCTGCCTTTCGAAGGGTCGTGACGTGAGGAGGCTGTTGACGCGAAGCCGCGCGGTGAATGAACAAACGGACGGGTTAGAACGGCCCTGACGGGTTAAACGGCCCTGACGGGTTGAACGGCCCAGTGATTGTACATTGATGAGAATCAACGGCTCCTGATGGATTGATAGGTTGATTGATTCTTCAGAGTAATCGAAACCAATGAAGTTTCGTCTAGGAGCTAAGAGCTAGAAGTTGTCTCGGCTCGAATCTGTAAGTTTCGGGATGATCGAGACACACGAATAGCGCCAGATGATAGATTCAGACAATGTGTCAGACCAGAACTCGTGTGCCAGAAACTCGTGTGTCAGAATTCGTGTGACAGAAATTCGTGTGCCAGATTATAGCATCTGACACGAAAACTACACTCAAAGTCAAACTTCATCACCGCACTGAACCCTCCTGTTACGCCTTAAACCACATAAGATTGCGTTCCGGTCCGGGGCGATCCATTGAACCTCCCCTCAGCAAAAAGCTGGAGCCCTCGAAAAGCTGGCCTTGGGATTCGTGTAGCATAGACCGAATCGACTCCACTCGGCTCGATCAGCTAGAGTCTAGGTTTTATTTACTGGCCGTAATCGGATTTATTGACCTTACGTACCATCATGCAGTTTATGTAGTGTACTAAAGTCTCGAACGATCACACTGTAAGCTGCGCTGCGGTCAAGTCCAGTGTGATGGATGATTCACGGGAGCTGCGAGCTCCTCCCGCGAAACCCGAAGTAGCCATTGCCCGAAGCGCAGTGCTGATTGAGAGCATCATGCTGGCTCTGAGGAGCCTCGGAAGCGGGTCGCGCTAAGTGAGTGAGCATGATGCTAGCTGGAGAGCATGGCCAGTGAGTGAGCATGATGCTGGAATATAGCGTATGCTCACTGAGTGAGCAATTCGGTAGCCGCAGCGCGTGCTCAGTGCTCAGTCTGAGCATGCATGCTACAGCAAGTCGCAGAAAGCCACGTGTCTGTGCTGCTGCGTTTGATGGGTGCAATTCCCCTGCGAAAGTCGCACCGAGTCGGAATGAGAGTTGCGGCGAAAGGTGACCCCTCCCCAGCCGGGGCTGCCTTTTGCAGCAGCGGATCGACTCTATCCGGAGCTGACAGAGAGAAGCAGGGTCACGAGTGATTGCTTAGTAGTAGGCAGGATGCACATAAGTAATTGACCTCTCCGATCGAGCCTATTCCATACGCATAGTACTCGTGAAACCGCGGTTCAGCTCCGGCGATAGTGTTGTTTACCTTCACCTCAGTCGCTGCCAGTTCGTTTTTGAGGAACTTATAGTGTCACGCTTCTCATACGGATATGGCTAGTACGGACATGGCTCATGCGGACTCTGGAACGACTCACATTAACGATCTCCCTGACAATGTTCTTGTCAGGATTTTCTGGCCTCCGGAGCGGCCAACCCCTGGCAAATCCGAGAGCGATGCTCTCTTTAACGGCTGAAGAGCGTGTCTACGGGGGGAGAGACACTCCCATGCCGAGCCCTCCTGCCTCCGCAAACGCAGCGTACACTCTCCTGCTTGCTTCTATCTGCCGTCGCTGGCGGCGAATCACTCAACACCACGTGACTTCTGTCCTCGTAAAGGAAGATCGGGTCGTTTCACATCAGGATCTGCTCAACGCTGTTGCGTGTTTACCGCATCTGACCCATCTGTACCTGTCGGATAGCAGTGTGGAGACTTTGAACAACGCCTTTCTTACTAACCTCGCCGCTGCGTGCCCTAGGCTGAGAGCGTTTCATGTAGGAAAGTTGATTCTGACAGAGGACGAAGGTGGAAGGAAGCACAGCCCGATAACCAAACCTGGCTTGGATCATTTCTTCCGTCGCTGCCCGGATCTGGAGCATCTGTCGCTGTATTGTCTTTCGAAGAATGTGAGGCCACCAGCTTCTTTCTTCCAGCTTCAGAATCTCCGCACCCTCGTCTTATCCAATGAGTTTATCCTCACAGCTTCGAAATGCAACTCCCTTGCTTCTCTCACTGCACTTTCCATTGAAACCACCTCCCTTCACTACGAGCAGCTTTTTAACCTCATCCATCTCACCAACCTCACCAGCCTCTCCTTGCCCAATGAGATTCGCCTGTTTTCTGATACTCCTCCTGCCTTCTCTCTCGCACAACTACCCTCCCTCAACGCACTAAAATTCGGGCTCCGCTATGCACAATTCAGCGTTTTCTTCCCTCCTAGATTTCCTTACAGGTGCTTGAAACGGCTGCATCTTAAACAGTGCAACGAGCAAGTGAGCCTTCCAGACAGTATAGGAGAGGTGATGCCTTGCCTCCAAGAGCTCAACATCTACTTCTGCAGATCCTTTACCGATCTGACTGATCAGTTCACCTCGCTCACCTGCCTAGAAAAGCTGACGATTTCTATGTGCAGCATTGTCACTCTGCCCGAGAATTTTGGAAATCTTCCAGCTCTGAAGACTCTGGTGCTGCACATGCTGCCTCTTCTTCTCCGTCTTCCTGATTCCTTCACTGGACTCGCATCATTGGAGACGTTTTTTCTGCTTGATTGTGATGGGGTGCATGAGTTACCGGAAGGGTTTGGTTGCCTCACAGGACTCAAGACTCTGAACCTTGCGTCGTGCTCTGCAATGGACCTTCCAGAAGATCTGGGGGAGCTGACCAATCTTCAGACGTTCCGACTTGAAGACAACAATGATGAGGAGCTGCCGTTTTCATTCACGCAGCTGGTTTCACTGACCAGGCTGGAACTGGATCGGTGCTTGATTCGCAAGCTTCCAGGCGGCATGAGGGGGATGACAAATCTGCAAGAGGTCTACATTCAAAGCTGCTCAAGAATCAAGAGGCTTCCAGAGTTCGTGACAGCTCTGACCAGCCTTCGAGTGTTACGGATTGAAGACTGTTCCAGTCTCACTACAGTTCCCAGGAGGCTACACAACCTAACCAGGCTGAGGCAGCTGGAGCTCACGAAATGCCACCAGCTGAATGAAAACCTTCAGACTCTACCCTTCAGCCTCCAGACTCTTTGTTACCAAACCAGTCCGCGGGTGGTTCCTCTGCCTGACATGGCGATGCTTTCGGATCTCAGAGATTTGCGTTTGGGTTTTGTTGATGCAGCAGGCCTCCTGGCTATTGCTGCCTATCTCTCACGTCTGGAGCGTTTGGAGTTGGCTTTGGGAGCAGATGGGGGGAAGGCGGAAGGGTTTCTTTTTACATTGACCAGTCTTTCTAACCTCCGCAGTTTAGAAGTGATGGGAGCTTGCAGCTTGAAGACGCTTCTGGAATCTGATGGATCGGCCTGGCATGGGCTACGGCAGCTGTGCATTGATGATACCCTGAGTGGTGAATTCACACGACTGCCTCCGGCTATCACAACCCTTCAGCACCTGACATCCCTATGGGTTCACGCGCCAAACCTAACTTCTCTACCAGATGATTTTGGAGCCTTTTCAAGTCTGCGCCGGCTGGAGTTATCAGAATGTTCATCCCTCGCACATCTCCCTGCTTCTCTCACTGAGCTATCCTGCCTGACTGATGTAAATTTCAGCGGCACTCTCATCCGCTCGCTCCCTCCTGGCTTGTCCCAGCTTAGAAGACTGAAGGGCCTGAATCTCCATAACTGCAAGCAGCTGGTTGCTCTGCCTGATGAAATACAAGGTCTCCCAATGATGGATGTTGTTATTGCTGAAGTCTGTGAGGCAGGCTCTCAGCTTCCAGACTTGGCAAATATTTTTTCAAGACATAACGTTGGTTAGTTTAGAACCATATGAGCGGCACATGGTTTGCTGATTCTCACTGTATATTGTTTGTTGATAAGTTTGAAAACAAAACTGATTTAGTTAGATTGTTATTCTGACCTTGATTTGTGGTGTGACCTAGTTAGATTGTTTTGGATTTTCAGCATGGTAATTGTTAGAATCTGAACTGTTTGAATAGGATCGTAGTCTTAGGATAGTAGCTTCCTGTAGCAGTGGAAGTCTTTTATATGAGTGACTTGTAACAGGATCAAAGGTCTCTAAAATCAAGTATATTATAAAATGACAAGCATACAGAATATATAACTAGACTAAAGTACCTGTTCGCCTACTGTGCTGTATTTATTCGCGCTATTCCTGTTCTGAAAAGGTACGTGACGTCATCCTAAGGCGCGTAGCGCTTTGCTGACGTCAGTCTATCGGTACTTTTACTGTACTAACTATACGAATTCCTTGAAGTGCATAAGTCTCGACATTATCTCAACGCTCCCCTTCACTTCTAGGAGTTCAGTGTAGTCACCCTGTTGACTCGGAAATGCCACTGAGCTGGTTGCAGTGATGAAATTTCTGACGTGTCAGCTTCTTAGTAAGCGAATCAGCGGCCATGTCGCTGGTGGGGCAGTAGACAAGGCGCATTCTCCCCTTGTCGATCGCGTCTTTTACGAAGAAGTAACGCAGCGAAATATGCTTCGTGCGATTGACGAAACCAGGCTTGTTGGCGATGGTAATTGCACTCTGGTTGTCGCACTGCAACGTGAACTGATTCGGCGTGACGAATTTTGCTTCGTCAAGTAACTCCTGCAGGTACAGACCTTCGCGAGTTGCAGCACAAGCGGCGATGAATTCTGCTTCAGCCGATGAAAGTGACACCAGTTCCTGTTTCGAGGAATTCCAGGAAATCGGACCAATCGGCTCGAGACGGAAAATATAACCCGTGCGTGACCGTCGATCTGACGTGTCGCCAGCGTGGTCTGCGTCAACGTACCCGCTGAGGTACATTTTGTCGGTCAGCTTCCCAGCATTGAAAATCAATCCGAGTGTTGGTGTAGAGACGAAGTAGCGTAGCGCACGCTGTAAGTCGAGAGAGTGTTCTTCTTTCGGGCAGCGTAAAAACTGCGCAAGGTGACTTGCGACGTAGGCAAGATCAGGGCGACAAGTGACTGCTGCGAAAAGAAGACATCCCAGCTGCTGCTGATACAGTTGAAGACCAGCTGCTGACAATTTTTTCAG